CAACGGACACCTGGGTTGCTCCTGCCATTTGGCTCTTATGAATGACACCGCTATGATATTATCTGTTCAAATCTCTATTTTCAATCCTTTTGGGGTATACACCCAGAAGTGGAATTACTGATTCATATGGTAATTCTATATTTAATTTTTCATGATCTTACCATGTTATGCTCATATTGGAAAACTTGTATCAGAAGATGGGATTAACAGTTGCCTCGTGAGCCAATGTGTATATTAGTCCTCAGACTATAGCCACACACCCAAAAGCAAAAGCACTCAATGAGCAACCAAAATAAATTCTGGTTAATGCAGGTTGACCATACAGCCTCCATTTCATCCTTCTTCTTTCCTAAGAGCTCAGTTTTACTCATATACTCTCTTCTTTCCTACAGAGTCATGTTCCTTAGGGGAACTCCAGCTCTAAGAATAGATTTGATTGGTCGGTGGAAAAACCATTGCCCTTGTCAGGAGTTAAGCCATGTTTGGACATAGTGATCTGAGTTTGTCCAATAAAATTAGAGGGAAATCTGTGGTCCTCTTGGAAAGCTGTTCTTCATTCTTTTTTTTTTTTTTTTTTTTCCTTGAATCGGAGTTTCATTCTGTCCCCAAGACTGGAGATCAGTGACATAATCATGGCTCACCACAGCCTTGAACTCCTAGGCTCAGAGGATCCTTCTGCTTCAACCACTCAAGTAACTGGGACTGCAGGTGTGGACCACCACACCCCAGTTAATTTTTTTTTTTTTTTTTTTTGGTAAAGATGAGGTCTTACTATGTTGCCTATGCTGAACTCTTAGGCTCAAGCAATCCTCTCTCCTCAGCCTTCCAAAGTGTTGGTATTAAAGGTGTGAGCCACTGCGCCCGGCCACATTTGTACTTTTATTGCCAACATTTGAGCAGTGATCAATTACACCCCATTTTTATTATTTTCAAAACCATGGTGGTTTGCCTTTGAAAGTCCTTGGAGATTTAAGTCATTGTAGGCAAGACGATTGACAACCAAAAACCCCACCCCCATCCCCACATATATGCCAATAACAAAATCCTACCAAAGAATCAACAGCGGTCTTAAAAGGAAACCCCGGTTATGGAATTCGCTAAACCACTGGCTGATTTCACTTCGACAGTGATACTTATAGAAAGAGGAAAAGCTTTTGAAGTGTAAGCAGTTTAACAAGGAGAGAAAATAGATACTCAAACAAATCATAAATGGAAGGAAACTGTAGAACAATGCAATTTTCAAACTGGTCTCTCAGGCTAACTTCTTTTTTCAGATTTAAACTGTGTTTACTTTAAATTTACATCGTTTAATCTTTCTCAAGGAGTGGTCAGAAATCACTTTTTAAAAAAATCCCACTTTCTTTAATAGCAAAATAATGACTCAGGCCCTGTCTGCAGAATTCTTTGCAGTTTTACTCTATCTTCATAAAGCTGGTTCAGTTGACAGTTGCTAAGGTGATGGCCTTTTTACAAGACACTTTTTTTATGGAGAAGGGTTAAGGGAGAAGCACTTTTCACTTGAGACTTTCTAGAAAAATGATGCTTGCATTTGCCATATATGTCACTCCAGGTCAAATTTTAAAGACAAGAGAACTAATAGATGTTGTGAGACTTAATTAAATTAAGGATAAATGTACTCAGTAAACAAAAACTTTCAAGTTTCCTAGCCGATGGCTGTTTTTCAATCCTTTACTCTTTGACTGTTTAAGCTGTGGAACTCAGACCTCATAGTACCCTCTAAGATTTAAAGAAATATACTTTGTATTAGATGGACCAAGGAGTAGACATAAGTAGTCAAATAATCAAATAAGAAAAAAATGTTTCAAGTTATTTGTTTTCATTTACTTGAAATTCTTTGCCCAACATCACCCCCTACTAGATGAATTAATGTCATGTTTGCACGTTTGCCACTTATTATTGTTGTAGTGGTTGTTATCATTTTTATTCTTTTTTTATTCTTTTTGAGTTGGAGTCTCACTGTCGTCCAAGCTGGAGTGTAGTGACATGCTCACGGCCACTGAAGCCTTGACCTCTGAGCTCAGACAATCCTTCCGCCTCAGCCTTCCAAGAAGCTGGAACTACTGGTGTGCACCCCCACACCCAGCTATTTTTTATGTTTATTGTAGAGAGAGGACTTGCCATGTTGCCCAGGCTGGTCTCGAACCCGCGAGCTCAGGTAATCCTCTCACCTCCGCCCCCCAAAGTGCTGGGATTACAAGTGCACGTGAGCATCATGCCCAGTCATCATTTTTATTCTTATTAAAGAAATCACTGCCAATGTAGAAACATCTTAGAAGGATAAATTCAAAGCTACTATTCTGGGTAGGTCTACTTGCCCTACATTTAACATTCCTAAATCACTATGTTTTTTGTTGTTGATGTGTGTTTTTGTTTGTTTGTTTGAGGTGGGGTCTCACCCGTCACCCAGGCTGGAGCGCAGTTGCACAATCACGGCTTACTGCAACCTCGAACTCCTGGGCTCAGACAATCTTTCCACCTCAGCATCCCAAATAGCTGGGACTACAGGTGCTTGCCACCACTCCCAGCTAATTTTTTTTTTAATAGAGATCAGGTCTTGCTATGTTGCCTAGGCTAATCTCCAACTTCTGGACTCAAGCTATCCTCCTATCTTGGCCTCTCAAAGTGCTGGGATTACAGGTGTGAATCACCGTGACCAGCTGTGTTTCTTGATGGAAATACCACCCATTCCCACCTTCCAACCTCAAAAGCTAGTAGTATAAAGTCAATGGGCAGAGCTTTTCAATTTACAGCTGATCATTTACGATATGATGTAATGGGGCCCAGTGGGAATGCTGCAAGGGCTTCTGGGTAGATTTTCCTCATTTCTAAAAGGAGACACAAGACAGAAACTTTCCCTTTTTCTCCTCTGGACTCTGTCATCTGTCAGTAAAGCCTGAAGCTGTCATGGACATGTTGTTAAAATGTGGACAAAAGCCAACATGCTAGGAATGACACAGTGGGAAACTGAATCAAAGAAAATCTGGGACCACAGTGGCATTACTAAGCAGATGAAATAACCCTGGCATCACTTTTCCTCCAAACTTTGCATTTTGTGAACTAACATAGTGTGTCTTTACCATTTAAACAACTTAGATTTTCTGTTACTTAAGCCAAAAGCACCCTACATAAGTGTGACATATTGCAAAAATGGCCCCAATTCTTTTTTGACCTTAGTCTTATTTGCCTCTCCATTCTTTGAAAAAGTCTGTACCTATAGACTGTGCAATGTAGCTTTACCTCTCCTTCCGTCGGAAGACAGTGTATCCATGCCTTGAACCTGGACTAGGCTTGTGCCTTGCTGTGGGCAACAGAATGCAGGCAGCAGCAATGTTGAAAAGTTCAGAACCTGGGCTTTAAGAGGCTTTGCATAATTTCTTTCTCACTTGTGGAATGCTGTGGCCACAATGTAAAGATTAGGTGAGCCTGTGGAGAAAGAGAGACCTGTGGAGAGTGGTTCAGATCTCCTAGCCGCTTCTACTGAGCCATCAAGCCAGCTGATCAAAGGTACATAACTCACCAGCTGATCAAAGGTACATAAATGAACTCAGCCAAGATCAGCCAAGCCAGCTGAGACCAGAACTGCCTGGGAATCCTAGCCCAAATCGCCAAACTACAGAATTAGGAGTTAAAATAAGTGGTTATTATGTTAAGCCACTATGTTGTGGGATTATTTGTCATGTAGCAAAAGCTAACTGATACACACATTAAAGTAAAAACCTGGGTTATTGCTAAGAGCAACAGCTTCCCTTAACTGCATGTTTCATTCTCCAATCTTCAAATATATATTTAGCTAGGAATTGGAAAGAGATAGGTATATGTGCTGCCAAAATTAAGTCATCAAATATATATATGTGAGACTCTTGCGCAGGTGCGGAGAGGAATTACTGAAGGTAATCCTGGCATCTCACCATCATTTCCTGTTTTTGACCTATTGTCAGATTGTCCCTCTCAATGAGACAGAAGAGAGAATAGAACAAAAGAATGGATAGTAGAAAACTGCACAATCTGAAACCATTTATATTTGGCATGAGAAAACTATATTTGTATGCATTCATAACCCCATCTTTCCTTCCTTTCTTGGGCTGGCATTGAAGGTAGATTGCTTTCTCCATGTACTCTGCAGCCCAGTGCAAAACTAGGCAACTTAGAAACCTTGTGAGTGGTAGGGCATTCAACCTGCAGTCAAATGAATCGTGAAATTGTAGGACAGAAACCAGCCTTAGAGAATACCTAGCTCAACTCCCCCTCCCAATGTAGCCATCTTCTCTGTAACATTTGATTCCGTTCAGCAACCTTTACAGAGTTCCTCCAATGTGAGAGCTACTATGCCTATGCCACAGGAAATTCAAGATGAGTAATGAGCATCCCTGCCTTCAAGATTGCCAGCCAATAGGGAAGATAAGGGGCTTACATAAATGAGATCCCAATGCAAGCAGTTAAAGAGACCTAAATACTAGATTATGTGGAGTTTAAGGGAAGAGAGAGCTCTCTCACAGTGGAAATAGGGAGGAGATAGCATTGGAAACGAACCTTGAATGACAGATCATAACTTAACCTTCGACAATACCATGGGAAGGGGAAGTCGCTGATAGAGGAAATTTCATATGCACAGATATGGAGATGAGAAACAATAGACCAGCATTTCAGGAGCAACAGATACTGACAATCTGTAAGCATTTATTACATGAACAATCTGGATTTTTACCTTCCATTCTTGCCTCTCTCCTGTCTTCTTCATGTGAATAAAAAGTGTCCACTCATCAGCTGCTCCAGCACAAACCTGGGAGGCATCCTTGACTTCTTCGCTTTCCTCAAGCCCCAGATCCAAATCATCATAATGCCCAGTAGCTCTAATCACCAAGTTTTTTTGGGGATCCCCCCCAAAAAAAAAACAAAACAGAATTTACTCTTTAAAAATTGTGTATTTATTCTTACTTCAGTCACCTTCAAAGTACTCTCCATTTGATGTAATACATCTATTGAGATGCTTTTTCCACTGCTCAGAACAGTTTCTGGACTCGTCAATTTGGATGCCTTTTAGTACTTCTGCCGTTTTGTGTTTCACTTTATCCACATCAGCATACGTTCCCATCTGAGAACTTTCTTCATCTGGGGCAACAACACCAAAAAAGTCACTCAGGGCAAGAGCAGGTGAATAGGGAGGGTGGGACAAGGGGATGGTGCCATTTTGGGTCAAAAACTGCAGAACACTCAGTGCAGTGTGGGCAGGTGCGTTGTCATGGCAGAAGAGCCAGTCACCAGTTTGACAAAAAAATTCACTGAAGTCAGTGTAGCCTCTCACAACAACACTAGCTGGTACACTGATGCTAGTGGGTTCCTAGAACACTTACATAGCAGGGGAAGCCTGTACTAGAAGGGACCCACCCTCCAAAAGATAATGCTGGAGTTTTTTGGCCCCCCCCCCGTATGTCTCAAACACAGATCCTTCTCACCACCTCTTTCACCACCAGCTGAATCTGCACCATCTTCTTCCATAGCACCCTTCTAATTTCATTTGATACCTCCACTCTGAACCTCATTCCATCCCCCACCCCCAAACACACACACACACACACATACACAGCAGCCAGAGTGAGCTTTGTAAAATGTAAGTCAGTTCCTATCACCCCTCCATTGGCATCAAAAGTAAGGTAGGGCTCCAGTGGAATCTTCCTTGAATAAATGTTTGCCTAACTGCTAAGCAGAGGGAGAATGCCACTCTCTTTGACACATGACTCTTCCATCTCTGTCTACCTACTGTTCATGAAGACAAACTCACTATTTGAGGGAGAAGCTTGTTTCAGTCTTTCAGCCAGGTCTGGTTTGGGTCCCGCTAACCACAGACACCCACAGATTTCTGAGGATACTTTCAAGCTAAATGCAAACTCTTTCATTTTCCTGAGTAGGCTTCTGCACAGAATCTCTCTGCACTTTCCTATTCTGGTGAACTGGGCTGGGCCTTGAAGAAACTCAGGGACTTTATCAGCACCTTCGCTTTAAGGCTGGATCACAGTCAGCCTCAGCAGCCAACTTGTGTGGCCTTTCTCCTGGGTCTCACCCTGGTCTCATTCAAAGACCAAAGACCCCTCCAACACAGACAGCACCCCTTTCTCCAAAGCTCAGCACCCAGCATGCCTCAGAGGAGGGAGACTAAGTGAGGGACTTTCATAACCATTTCCCTTCGTTCTTCCTCCAAATTTTCAGCTCACAGGCCAGGAGAGGGGGTGGGTAAGGCATTGTTTTGAGAGGACCCCATTGTATTTTTGATGAATACCAGGGCCCCTCCCTCAGGAGGCTGGGAAGGAGAATGGAGAGTGGGTGGCCAACAGACAGTACTTTTTTTCTTCTGGCAAATAATCCAGAAAATGAATAATTCCCACAAACATAATCATGTTAGCAATCCATGTGTAATTTGGCATATGCTCGCTAGTCAAATAATGACTTAAATTGCTTGCGGAATTTATAAAGGAAAATGTACTTAGTCATTTTAATAAGAATAGTCCCTGTAGACAAATTTTTCAAAGATTGGAGAGGCAAATAAGAATACATTATCTCCCCTTTAATGACCCACCTACCATACCCACACAGGAGTGTGCACTTCTCTCTCTCTCTCTCTCTTTCTCTTTCTCTCTCTCTCTCTCTCTCTCTCTTTCTCTCTCTCTGGCATGCACATGTGCATGCACATACCCATACACACTCAACTCAGCTGTGTTAACCATGCACACACATCCATTCACATAGACATTCACACACTTCCTCCTAGTATTTCCCAGTCCCAGGACTTCTCCAGTCCTTCTCCTGCTTGCTATCCTGCTCTCCACATGCAGACATCACTCCAGATGCAAACGGCAGCCCTGATGTCATTGACAGTTATCCCAGTAGGCTGTTGCCATCAGTCCCTATGCATAGGTTGGTTTCCTAGCTCCACCACTTACTATCTATGTGACTTTGGGCAAATTAACGTCCCTGAGCCTCTGTTTCTACATCCAAAATTGGCATCATAATAGTGTCTCTCTCATTCTCAATGTTGAGAAGCAACCATGCACCTGGCACCCTTCCAGTGCTGGGAGTACAGCAATACAAAAGATGACATTCCTGCTCTTGAGAAACTTACTTTCTAGTGGGGGGGAAATAAGTCTCAGACAAAAAAATAAGAATTTCAGATAAGCACTGCTAAAAGTAGAATACAGTAAAATGATAGAAGTATGGAGGTAAGATGTGGTAGGCAGCTTCAAAGATGGTGCTAATGACCCTCGCCTCCTAGTACTCATCCCCCTGTGTGGTTCTCTTGCTATTAAGTAGGCTGACCAAGGCAAACAATAGAATATTGTGCAAATGAAAGGGTGTGACTTCCAAGGTCAGGTCATAAAAGACATTGCAGCCTCCACACCACTCTCTCTTGGGTCACTAGTTCTACGGGAAACCAGCTGCCATATTGTGAGGACATTTAAGTAATCTCACGAGCAGTCCTAGGGCAGAACGGTAATGAATGAAGCCTCTTGTCCATGACCAGCACCAACCTTGCCAATAGCCGATCAGCACCACCATGTTGAAAGTTATCCTCTAACCCCAGTCAAGGCTTCAGATGACTGTAGCCCCAGCAAACTCATAAAAGACACCAAGCCAGAACCACCCAACCAAGCTGCTCTGGAATGCCTGACCCATTGAAACTACAAGTCTATAAGTTTTTATGATTATTTTAAGCCACTAAGATTTGAGGTCATTTGTTATACAGTCATAGATAATGCATACAGGGAACTTTGGATAGGGAAGTCTTCAGTGAACTTCACTGATCTTGGGTTATTGTGAGGATTAAATAAGTAAAATATAAAAGTGCTTAGCAAAGGATCAGGCTTTTAGCATACGCTCATTATTTGTGGTGAAATTAATCTTCTCCTATTACAGATGAGGATCTTGGGATCGGAAGAACTTCAGACATTCGCCGGTGTCCTCCAACACAAGTGCCAGCCAAACTAAGTCAGAGACCAGGTCTCCCAGCCTCTCTCCTCTAGACCCTAAGCCAGACTTCTGTCTTCTTATATACTCTGCTGCTTTATTCCTTGCACAAAAAACTGCTGGAGTGAGTATGTGGCAAGTCTGCCCACAGATTCAGACTCTTTGGGTCTGCGTGGCTACCCTGGGACATGTAGACAGAGTAGGGGACAGAAAGAATGTGACGTGGTGTGGGCGGGACCAGTTTTTCCATGCTGCCGTGAGGACTCCTTCAGAAACCACTAGCCACGGCCAGGTGGGCAGTTCTAGATTTTTACAGAATGCTCTCTCATTTGCTAATTGCTTTTGGGAATCCAACAGCTGCTTTTAAGATTTTGATGCTGATCACCTTTGAAGGCCATGGGGAGAGGGAAAGAGAAAGACAGATTGTCTGGGAAGCCCATGAGCCTATCTGGGCCCCTGCTCCAAAGATCCTTTTAACACAGGCTGGTTCCCATCTGCTGTTCTCATTCTTCCACGGGGTCAAGGATGCGGCCAGCTTTCCTCTCTTGGTGGCCACACCCACTCTTTCCCTGGGCGTCTGTCCTCCCCTTCACCCCTGTGACCAGCTGTGGAGTAGCATATCTCCCTCAAACCTCCCTCCTTCCTTATATCCCTCAAAGATAAGCTCACGGGCCCCATTTGTTCTAAAGAGTTCACCACTGGCACTACAGAGAAATAGACAACAGGCAACAAAAATAACCAAAGTGGTCAGGTGCAGTGGTTCACGCCTGTAATCCTAGCACTTTGAAAGGCCAAGGAGGGAGGATTGCTTGGGCCCAGGTGTATGAGACCAGCCTGGGCAACCCAGCAAGATCTTGTCTCTACAAAAAATAAAAAAATTAGTTGGGTGTGATGGTGCACACCTGTAGTCTCAGCTACGTGGGAAACTGAAACAGAGGGATGGTTTGAGTCCAGAAGGTCAAGGCTGTGTTGAGCCATGATCGTGCCCCTGCACTCCAGCCTGGGTGACAAAGTGAAACCCTAACTCAAAAAATAACAATAGTAAAATAAAAAGGAAAGAACTGAAGTGGGGAAAAATACAGAAATAGAAAATCTTTTGATGTGACCATGCCACTCCTTTACTTAAAACCTCTGAGTCACTCTGCACACCTTCAGAGCAAATCCCAAGCTCTTTACAGAGGCACACACAGTTCTTCAAGATCTTACCTGGTTCGAATCCTTGCTCTGTGCTTGCTGGCTGCGTGCCCTTGAGCACGTTACTTGATCTCTGCATGCCTCATTTTCTTCAGATGTAAAAAAGGTCCTCATAATATGGGCTATTGTGAGAATTAAACAAGTCAACACATAGGAAGGCTTAGATCCTCTCTGACTCATAGTAAGTGTTCAGTCAATACCTATCGCTCTTACACTGATGATGGTGAACACCTCCGCCAATATATCCATTAATCCCTGCCCTGCACCTGCTTGAAGAGCCCTCACATAGGTAGCCTGCTGTTAATCCCCTCCATGTGTTCTGGCTCTGTTCATACACAACCTTTACCATGCCCTAAACCTGGCTCATGTCTAGGTCTTCGGAGAGGACATTCTAGGACATTCTAGGTGGCTCCTGCCTGTCATCCCAGCACCTTAGGAGGTTAAGATGGGAGGATCACTTGAGGTCAGGAGTTCAAGTCCAGCCTGGGAAACAGCAAGACTCCCATCCTTATTTTTAAAAAATTTAAAGAGAGTCTGGGTGTAGTGGCTCATACCCAGTACATTGAGAGGCCAAAGTGGGAGGATTGCTGGAGACCAGGAGTTTGAGACCAGCCTAGGCAACATAGTGAGATCTCGTCTCTACAAAAAATTAGCCAGACGTGGTGGCACATGCCTGTAGTCCCAGCTACTCAGGAGGCTGAGGCAGGAGGATCTCCTGAGCCCAGGTGGTCAAGGCTACAGTGAGCAGTGATCATGCCACTGCACTCCAGCCTGAGTGACAGAGTGATATCCCAACTAAAAAAAAAATTATTTTTAACGAGAGATAGGATGCTCTACCCAAGCAAACCATTTTTGGGAATCACTCCAGGCCCATCCTGTCATCATCACAGGCTGGCTCAGGTCCCCTCTCCTCTGTGCTCCTATGGTACCTATGCATTTCTCCATTATTATCTAAGACTACATGCATGCATTTATTTTGGGTTTTTCTGTGGGTTTTTTTGTTTTTGAGTTTGTTTTTTTTGTTTGTTTTTGAGTCTCACTCTGTCACCCAGGCTGGAGTGCAGTGGCACACTCACGGCCACCCCAGTGTTGACCTGCTGGGCTCCAGCAATCCTTCTGCCTCAGCCTTCCAAGTAGCCCAAACTACAGGTGCATGTTACCACACTCGGCCATTTTTCATTTTATTGTAGAGGCGAGGTCTCCCAAGTTGCCTGGGCTGGTCTCAAACCTGAGGGCTCAGGCAATCCACTCACCTCTGCCTCCCAAAGTGCTGGGATTACAGGCTGAGCCACTGAACCTGGCCCATACATGCATTTGAATTACCTACAGCTGTGTAACAACTGACCCCAAAACTTAGTGGGTACAAACAGCAGCTGTTTTATAGGCTCACAGTTCTACGTGTCGATAGTGGATACACAGACCCACAGTTCTATAGGTCAAGGATTCAGCCAAGACTTGGAGGGGCAGTTTTTCCGCCCCACGAGGCATCAGCCGAGGTCCATTCCCTCGGCTGCATTCAGTTAGTGTCTGGACTAACTAGAAGGCCTGTGAAGGTTTCACTTATGTGTGCGGTGACTCAGAGCTCCTCTTGCAGCTTACTCCATGTGGCTAGCTTGGGCTTTTCTCACAGCATGGTAGTCTCCTTTCAAGCCAGGCTCCTGACAAAGTGGGAAATGCTTCTTCCAAACAGCATTTGAGGAGTGACAAAAACAGACATTGTGGGTCTCTTAAAGCCCAACCTCAGAGGTTACACAGCATTGCTTCCACCATATTCTATTGGCCAGAGCTAGTGATGGGGCCATTCCAAATTTAAGGGAAGGAGTGGGAGGAATTGGTAGTCATCTTGAAGTCACCATCACAGTTATCTCCGAACAAGATTCTGAAGTCCTTGAAGGCAAGGACAGAATTGTATTAGTCTTGGTGTCCCCAGTTTCCAACTGGGACTAGTGCCTGGTATAGAGAAGGTGCTTAACAAGTTGGAGTATTTTTGTTTGCTTGTTTGGTCGGTTTTTTAGTTGGGGTTTTACTCTGTCACCCAAGCTGGAGTGCAGTGGCACAATCATAGCTCACAGCAGCCTCAGACTCCTGGGCTCAAGTGACCGTGCCTCGGTCTCCCAAGTAGATGGGACGACATGTGTACACCAACACACCCAGCTAATTTATTATTTTGTAGAGAGAAGGTCTTGCTGTGTTGCCCAGGCTGGTCTCATACTCCTGGCCCCAAGCAATCCTCCCACCTCAGTCTCCCAAAGTGCTGGGATTACAAGTGTGAGCCACCATGCCCGGCCACAAGATGTTGTTGAACTGAACTCCCACACAAACACAGGAACGCTCTAGAGTGAGACAAACTGTCCTAAGCAACCCCCCGAGGCAGCTCCCCTGGGAGCTGCCAAAGTCTCCCGCCCACAGCCTCTGCTTCTCATCAAATCCATCTTCAGTTCGTTCCTGGCACAACAAGGTGTGCAACCAATGCCAAAGTCACTAATTAAGTACCAGTGTCTCTAGCTGACTTTTACACGGATAAAAGACAGAAGCAAAAGAAGTGAGTGTAGCTAGAATGTTCTACATGCCTATCTAAAGGACTGATAACATGTGAACTCTGTGTAAACATTTCCAACTCGAGTGCTGTGGAGGCCGGGAGCATCCTCAACTAAGAGGACTCACAAGTCTCCTTATTTGGAAAAAACCCTCCCCCAAACCCCAAGCGGTCAAAGCTGGTGGCTAGAGTGTGAGGCCACTCTTGAATTCCATAGAGAAGGTCCTGTTGTTTTTGCCCACGGCTCACGGCAGGCAGCAGCCCAAGATGACTACAGGAATGCAAACCTCCCAAGACCAGGCGCCAAGGGCAGACCACGGGAGGTGAGGGTGTGAGGGTGAGTCAGCTCAGACCACCAGCAATTGTCTGTGGAGAGAAAGTCCAGGCCTTGTCTACGCCAGTCTTGGCACAAGCAACTTGTTTCTAACTAGCAAACCATTGGAAGGAAAACAAATCCAACATAGGAATATCCGAGTACACAGGTTTGCTTCTTGGTCCATCTTAGTGTTCACATGTCCTCACCGATGGAATGGTCCCTTCCCGACCTAAGATCTCAAACAGCTAGAGGTTCCCAGGGCAGATGACTACAGAGAGAGCCCACCTGATGCCCAGCAGGGGCAGGCAGGCAACTCTCTGCAGCTGGGGACAACGTGGCAGATGCCAGCCAGTCTGAAGAAGATCACTTCTACAAGTCAGGAGTGTTCTAGATGCATGAAAAAGTGACCCACTTAGCAACTCTCTGGAATCCTGAGAGTGAAAAGTATTGCCCAAGTCACCATATTATCTTCTTATGAGGCAGCTAAAGGTGTAGAGGACACTGCAGGGTGCAAGAAAGAGTGCAAACTCCTTTCCTTGACACTTTAAGCAGGCAGAATCCTGGCAGCTGGTGGGGCTGTGTCCATAGTTCCAGGTTCCATGTTCCTTTTGCATGTTCTTCATTCTCCCTTAGAAACTAGGTTATGAAGGAAGAGTCCCATGCCAGACACCCACATTTCCAACTAACAGATATCTAGTGAGCTCATTCCACATACCAGGCCCCGATCCAGGTGCTGGAAACAGCAAAAAGCCTAAGAGACAAGGTGTCTGTGATATTGGAATTTTCCAACAGGCAAATAAAAAGGCAGCTCCAGATCACGACAAGGGATGGGAACAGAAGAAATTGCAAGGGTGGGAAGTGTGACAAGGAATGGCTTCTTCAGGTAGAGACTGCCTCTCCAGGAAGGTGACCTTTGGGCCTTCAAGGCACAGAGAGAGCCATTATCTAGGAGAGAGGAGTCTTGGGCGGCAGAAACAGCAAGGGCACAACAATCAGAGATAGGCCTGATGTCTTTAAGGAGCAGAAAGAAGGCCTAGGTGAATATCAGAAACACAACGTTAAGACAAAGCCGGGCTGCATCATTCAAGGCCTTGTGTATCACAGTTGGAATTTGGATTTGATGATACCCCTTATTTTGCCTGACTATTGCTGCTCCTGATTATTTAGCACTCTAAGGCTTCATTTGTAAGCATCTACGATGCACCAAACCAGTGGTCCTCAAAATGTAGTCCTCTGACCTGCAACATTGGCATCACTCTAGAAATTTGTTAAAAATGCAAAGTCTGGCTAGGCACAATGGCTAACACCTGTAATCCTAACATGTTGGGAAGCCAAGGCAGGAGGATTGCTTGAGCCCAGGAGTTCAAGTCCAGCCTGAGTAACTTAGCGAGACCTTATCTCTACAAAAAATCAAAACATTACCGTAAGACATGATGGTGCTAGCCTGTCGTCCCAGCTACTTGGGAGGCTGAGGTAGAAGGATCGCCTGAGCCCAGGTTGAGACTTCAGTGAGGCATGATCATGCTACCACACTCCAGTCTGGGCAACAGAGTAAGACCCTGACTCGATCAAAAAAAAAAAAAGCAAAGTTTCGGTCCCCACAACAGACTTGCTGAACAAAAAACACTGGGGGTGGGACCCAGCAATCTGCATTTATAAGCCTATGCTTGGAAAAGCTTGAGAACCACTGGTCCAGAGAAAAATATTTTTAGATTGTTAAAATGTTCTTAAGTGCAAACACGTTTCTAAAGAAGATGAGGAAATGTAATACACATGTTTTAGTGTGACTTATATCTAAAAGAACAGAAGTAAATAGTATTTAGATCTTGACTGACCTTTCCTCAGTCACTTTGACCCTCACTATATGGACTGTGATACACTGAGGATCGTAGGGTCTCAGGAAGCCAATTAAGCTAGTTGCCTCTAAACATAATGGGCTAAGGTAGGGATTCTTTGGGGGCTATATGTTAGGGACTGTGCTGTAATAGCACTGTAAATAAATATAATTATCACTTTGAACAAAGCAAAACAGGCTCTAAGAGATTAAGTCACATGACCAAGTACACAAGCCGAGGAAAGGGCGATGCTGGTATTCAAACCCAAGTGTATTGATTAGCAACTGCTGAGTAACAAATTACTCCAACCAGGCTCAGTGGCTCAGCCTGTAATCCTAGCACTTTGGGAGGCCGAGGTGAGGGAATTGTCTGTAACCGCGGGTTTGAGACCAGCCCAGTCAACTTGGCAAGATTTCACCTCTACAATAAATCAAAAATTAGCCGGGTGTGGTAGTGCCTGCTTGTAGTTTCGGCTACTTAGAAGGCTGAGGGGGTGGCTGTGAGCATGCCACTGCACTCCAGCCTGGGCAACAGAGTAAAACTCCAACTCAAAAAAATAAAAATGACTCCAAACTAAGCAGCTTAAAATGTCAAACACTTATTATATAGTTGCTAAGAGTCAGGGACCAGGAGTGGCTTAGCCTTGTGGTGCTGCCTCAGGGTCTCTTAAGAGTTTATGGATGCTGGCTTTTGTGGAGACTCTCAGTCCGACCTGTCCCGTTGCTATCTTGCTGGAAGTCCTCTTGAGAGTTTAATGTCAAGCTGCAGTCATCTGAAGGCTAGATGTCCCTCCAAGCTCATTCATGCAGCTGTTAGAAGGAGAGTTCAGATCCTAGCCAAGGAGGTTTCTTCTTAGAGAGCTCATGACATGGCAGCCATCCTTCTCCAGAGCAAGAACTAGAAGAAAGAGAAAGAGAGTGGGATCAAATTGGAAGCAGCACTGTCTTTCATCACCTCGTCTTGGGAGTAATGTATGATCACCTCTGCTGTGTTCTTTGTGTCACATAGGCCAATCCTAGTACAACAAGGGAGAGAACTACACAGAGAGATGAATATCAGGACTGATGACTATCAATCATGGGGGCTTGTCCTAGAGCAGTGGTCCCCAGCCTTTTTGGCAACAGGGACTGGTTTTGTGGAAGACAATTTTTCTGCGGATGGTGGGAGGGGCAGGGACAGGCAATCAACCCTTATTGCTAATCACCACCTCAGCTCCGTCTCAGGTCATCAGGAATACACAACCTAAATCCTTCGCAGGTGAAGTTCACAATAGGATTCATGCTCTTATGAGAATCTAATGCTGCCACTGAACTGACAGAAGTTGGAGCTCTGTTCACCCACCACTCACCTCCTGCTGTGCAAACGGGTTCCTAACAGGCTACAGACTGTCCTAGAGGATGGCTACCATACCAAGTCTGTCTCACTTTGAAACACAGAATGTCTTTATTTATGCCTTCAATAAAAGTTGAATGATGAGTAATTTCCAGATGCTTTCCTGGACTCTGAATAATGGTGGTAAATAAAACAAACATAATCTTTACCATCCTAGAGTTTATAATCTAATTTTTAAAAGTATACAAACAACTGGGCACAGTGGCTCATGCCTGTAATCCCAGCACTTTGGGAGGCTGAAGTGGGAGGATTGCTTGAGCCCAGGAGTTCAAGACAAGCCTAGGCAACATAGCAAGACCTTATCTCTGAAAAAAAATTTTTAAACTTAGATGGGTGTAGTAGTGAATGCTTGTAGTCCCAACTACTCAGGAGGCTGAGGCAGAAGGATCATCTCCCAGGAAGCTGAGGCTGAGATGAGGTGTGATTGTGCCACTGCACTCCAGCGTGGGCAGCAGAGTGAGACTTTGACTCAAAAAAAATGTAAACAAACAAATATACATATAATTTTAATTTGTAATAAGTACTATGTACATAGTACATTCTGTGTACTAAATACTATATACTAAGTACTATGAACTCCAATAAACAGAATACGGTGGGAAGGGGGTAGAGAGCCTAGTTATTCAAATTGGTAAAGCCCAGAAGACAGCTTTCAAGAGGTCACCTTAAATAATGGTCTTCAAACTTTCTGAATTAATCAATAAAAAATTTTGAGCAATCATTTAAGAAACACATTTTATTCTGTTTTACATTTCATATATATGTATGCTTGCATACATGTAGACACATAATACAGATATTACATAATAATATATAGAAAAACATGACAATATAATATACAAATATATATCATATATAGAAAAAGTAAAAGAATAAGATAAAGTTGAAATATAAAAGATTTTTTAAATTTATAAAGTTGTTAAATTATTTTGCTCTTAGCTTTAAAATTTTTACTGATAATATTTTGATGAGACCTATCTGACTGAATATGCTGTATTTTTTTATGCTTTTCTTATTCGTTATGAATAAAAGGTCTGCTTCAAAATTCAGTTATTTTGGTGCTTGGATTTAATAGCTATCAGACATGGAAAAGATGCTTCCCAAAAATACCTTGATTAAAGCAAGAGATGGGTTTTAGTGCTCATGTCACCTAAGTCTGAAACTTGTTTTTTAACCTTATCCATCAATTAGGTGAAATTTCCAATAAAAATGGCTAGCAAGCCGGGCTCGGTAGCTCAGCCTGTAATCCCGCACCTTGGGAGGCTGAGGTGAGTGGATTGCCTGAACCCGCGGGTTCAAGACCCGCCTGGGCAACTTGGTGAGACCTCATCTCTACAATAAAACAAAAAATTAACTGGGCGTGGTAGCGCATGCCTGTAGTTCCAGCTACTTGGAAGGCTGAGGTGGAAGGATCGCCGGAGCCTAGTAGGTCGAGGCTGGTGTGACAGAGTGAGACTCCAACTCAAAAAAAAAAAAAAAAAAAAAATGGCTAGCAAATTTTTATCTTTCCTCATGTCACTTAATTGTTCATACAAACTAATAAAAAATGGATTCAAAATATTTTAGAATTGTTTATCATTTTTAAAATGTTAAAAATTAAGTTTTCAAGTTAAGTATGTATATATGAAAGTTTTTAGAAGGGCATATTTATTGCATTTTTGGCAATAAAATTACTTAACTATTAGAGATTTTCCAAATATTCATTTTTAAAATGCTCTACTCAGAGTATTAAATGTAGGTACTTCCTCACTTACTGTTAAAAGATCACATTTATCTGCATAATTTCACAATTTTTTGGTCAAATTATTTTATTCATGGCTTTCTCTAGCAATGTAGCTAAACAAGTACTTACATGCTAGAAAAATGTCAGTTCTGCCCTTATTTGTTGTTCAGTTAAACTGGAATTATTGGGGAAATCTCTAGATTCAGCCTCTTTTTAGAAGATATTTTAAAATAACTTATTTATTTAGGGAAATGCTTGGTTAAACCTAGATTATACTAAGATTTCCTTTTCTAGAAATGGAGAACTAGGTAATTCAGACCAACTCTCCCACTGAGGACAACAAGCAAAACAAAATACTTTTAAAATCTGTTTGAAAGTCCTAGACAGCTAACATGATGGTGAGGAATTATTGGGTTAATATGTGGCAAACAAGGGAACTGAGTTTGGCAATTTGGACAACTTTTTCTCTTACAGCATAAGCCAATTCCTAAAATTAGGACTGAGAGGCCAAGGAGGTGAGCATAAAGGCTGTTAGAAAGCTAAGGCCAAATTTGGTGCCCAGCACCAACATGCCAGGATAGCTCTCACAAACCTCATTGCTTTTGGATGGGCCACTGAAGGACAGTACCCTAAAAACAATGATAAACCAAAGAAAGGCAGTACCTGAAATTGGACTCAAATGATCCCACAGTGCTCATACCCCACATACCTAGCAGAAGTATGAATTCACTCTAGAGGACGATAACACTGTTAGAGAACTCTAATTGTATCTACAAATAATGTTTTAAGTACAAATATCAGAACACAATAAAAGAAAAAAATAGCAGAAAAGCAAGGAGACAAGACCATAAAAATGAAAACCAAGAAAACACAGACATGGATCAAAAGGCTCAGATATTAGAGTTTTTAGACTTTATATTTACTTTTAAAAATACTATAACTTACAGTCATGCTGCCCGTCAAAAGAGGACTGGATTAAAAAAATGTGGTACATATACACGATGGAATACTACGCAGTCATAAAAAAGAACAAAATCATGAATTTCGCAGCAACCTGGATGGAACTAGAGTCCATAATACTGAGTGACCTCTCACAGAAACAAAGATCCGAATATCACATGTTCTCACTCATATAATGGACCTTAAACATCCAATGCAATACTATACGAAAATGACTGACTGTACTGGGAAACTATGGGGGGGGGAGGGAGATGGGATTAACAGTAGCAAATATCTGTCTGGGAACGGGGAAACACCCCATATCAACAGGGTGCCTGAATGAAACGCAATTGTATACCTAACCCTTAACTGTACCCCACAGCTTCATAATTAAAAAAAAACACAACTATATTTGCTTTGTTCAAAGAGATTAAAGTCAACTGTTAGAATTTTTTATTTTTTTGAGTCAGTCTCACTCTGTCACCCAGGCTAGAGGGCAGTGTCATGCTCACGGCTACCACAACCTCAAGCTGCTGGGCTCAGGCAATCCTTCCACCTCAGCCTTCCAAGTAGCTGGAACTATAGGCACACGCTACCAAGCCCACCTAATATTTGATTTATTGTAGAGACAAGGTCTTGTCTAGTTGTCCAGGCTGGTCTCAAACTCCTGGGCTCAGGCAATCCTTTTGCCTCTACCTCCCAAAATGTTGGGATTACAGGCATGAACCACCATGCTCAGCAACCTTTAGAATTTTGACATAGAACTGAAAACTAGTTTTTTTAAAAAGTCAATGAAAATGCTACAATTTAAAAAATAATAATAGCAATTAAGACACAATAGATTAACAGTTAATTACACGGGACTGAAGAGAGAATTTCAGTATAGAAGAAAATATCCAGAATAAAGCATGGAAAGACAACGTTAAAAAAACTAGAGGAGAGAAGCCAGGCTCGATGGCTCAGCCTGTAATCCCGCGCCTTTGGGAGGCTGAGGTGAGTGGATTGCCTGAGCCTGCGGGTTTGAGACCCGCCTGGGCAGTGAGACCTCATCTCTACAATAAGTCAAAAAATCAGCCGGGCGTGGTAGCACATGCCTGTAATTCCGGCTACTCGGAAGGCTGAGGCAAAAGGATCGCTGGAGACCAGCAGGTGAGGCTGCAGTGGCTGGGAGCGGCCACTGCACTCCAGTCTGGGCGACCAAGTGAGACTCCAACTCAAAAAAAAAAAAAAAACTAGAGGAGAGTATAAGAAACCTAGCAAAGTTTTCAAACTTTAAAAAAAAACAAAAATGTCATAAAATAATACTTTTATAAATTGCAATTTACGTGAATTAGTAGAACAATGAAATAATACAAAGACACCAAATATAAGCCCAAATTTTTATTAGACTCAAGACATAAAATTACTCTGCCAATTGCTATTAAGGCTTCAAAGTACTCTCAAGGTTTGTGCTTCCTTCTTTTAAGGTCATGACACTCACCTTAAAAGACCCATGAAAAGTTTAAATATATGTTTAATTGAAATTAAAGGGTAAGGACAGAGAAAATGGAACATAAACACTATTTGCAGAGTAATTCACTGAGATATTTCCAAAACTAATTAAACACATCAATTGACATGTTTAGGAAACCCAAAACTGAATAAAGAAAAACATAGACACTTTATAGTCAAAATGCCAATATACATAGCAAAGAAAATATCTTAAACACAACCAGAGGAAAAAAAATTTAAAAAAAGAAAGAAAAAAGAAAAAAAATTGACATAAAAGGAACAATAATTAAATTTACAGCTTATTCCACAACAGCCACACTGGAAGCCAAAAGACAATAGAATAATAACCCCC